AGGAAGCGATCAGTGAACAGTAATAACAGCAGGAAAGTAGCAGTGAGACTAAAGTTCAAACCACAGAGATTCAGCTACAAGTTGCTAAAGTCCTGAGACTGTTCAAAGCTGTTAAAGTGAGTTACTGTATAGTGGGACTGTGGACAAACAGACAGTTATATTGTGAACAATTGATCAAGTATGAAGTGAAAAGAGTGGAACTTCCTGCCTGAGTGAAGTTCCAGTTTTGTGTTAATCCTGGTTGTTGAAAGTGTAAATATGATCCGCTGTACTCACCAGTGTTTGGAAGAGACTCTGCTGTGTTGTTGAGAAAGACCTGATGAAGTCACTTTGACTTTTCTTTGAGAGAAACACAGAGACTTGTCTTTACTGCAGTGTGTCTGCCACTCTGACAAACTTATCTTTCGTTTCTGGATTGTGACGTTGCAGCTCTTCTCTTCACAGTGTAGCTCCGCCTCTTAACTGGTGAGGTTTTGTTTACTTCCTCTGGTTTACTCAGAGTAGTCTGGCTTTTAGCTGACAGTCAGTCATGTGACCCTCATCATATTTGTCCCAGTTGTCTCTCCCATACACACCCCAACGCCTGTCAAGGACATGGTAGGGCTGAAGTTAACATGACACAAAACTCAGTTTGTTGTTTTAAGCGGAGTTATGTGCTTCAACTATCTCTTGGTCTTTAATTCAGTATAAAGGTGATCATCTGGACTCTGACTGTACGTGCTGTTTGTTTCTGTGTTTCTGTCGCAGGGCGGAGAAAGCAGAAGGCAGCCAAAGAGAGGGCAGGTATGGCAAAGGTGAGCACAAACCTGTTGTACCACTTCCTGTCATCACCTGTCAATCAATTCAGATTAGTGAGCTGTATGGTGTGGGGAGGAAACTAAGATTTGAAATAGTCAAATATTACTCAGTGACTCTAAAGTTTTATAAAGTCTTACTTGATGAAATAACAGTCACCATACAATAAATATTATTATTATTATTATCAGTGACATTTTGTTTGTTTTTTTCTATACAAAATCCTCTTTATTAACACTGTGTGCTATATAACTATAATAATAATAATATATCCAGCACAATTGTTCGGCTTTTATTCTGAAGTCAGCACATCTTCAATTCCTGTTTTATTCTGACAGTTTGAAGGCAACGGGCATTAAGATGTATCATGTAAACATACAAATGAAAGAATATGATGATTAATCTACTTTAACAGTCACCCACTATATACTTTTATTGTAAAGAGGACTTCAGTGATCAGCTGGTTGCTTTTATCTGGCTCCTTATTGGATAATGGTGATTGAAGGAGGGTCGCTACCAGCATGCAGATGAAGTTTAACTGGCTCACAGATCAGAGCTCATTACTGATCACCGTATGATGACTTCCTGTGAGGTCTGACCACAGAGACCCCAAAAAGAAACGGTGAAAACCAGAGAGAAGAGTTTTCCTTCCGGTGGCTGACCGTTGTTTGTCCTGCAGCTCCCGGACCTAAAGGACGCTGAGGCGGTGCAGAAGTTCTTCCTGGAGGAGATCCAGCTGGGGGAGGAGCTGCTGGCTCAGGGTAACACCTCCTCACACCAACACCTTCTTTACAGTCACAGTTTGATTTTCACTCGTGTGGTTTTATTGTTTCTCAGTCTTATTCCAGGCAGCAGTGAGTTGTGTCAAAGTCTTTCCTCTGGTCTCTGTGGAGTCCGTCATGGTGTCTTTACACTTTACGTCTGGTCTTTGTGCTTCGCTCCACAGGAGACTATGAGAAAGGTGTGGACCACCTGACCAACGCCATCGCCGTGTGTGGTCAGCCTCAGCAGCTGCTGCAGGTCCTGCAGCAGACTCTGCCTCCGCCCGTCTTCCAGATGCTGCTCACCAAACTGCCCAGCATCAGCCAGGTAGGCCCAACACTTCTCTTTATTCTCCATGTGGATCTCCATGAGTCCTTCTGTTCTCCACACAGAAACAACAACAACAACAGTTTAAAATCACGTGTTATCAATGAAACAAGAAAAGGAAGAAACGAAACAAGCCGGTTTGTGTTCTGCTCCTGTCCTGCAGCGTATTGTGAGTGCACAGAGTCTGAGCGAGGACGATATAGAATGAGGACCAGGAGGAGACAACCCCCAAACCCTCACCCTCCTCTTCCTCCCCTTCCTCTTCCTCATGTGGACCTTCCATGACGACCCTGCCAACGCCTCGGCCTCCATCGCTCCGGCCGACATCCATCACTTCCTGAAGTGGAATTAGTTTTGTATTCCTGGTTTATCCATGACAGTAGTGTTTTGTTTTTTGACTTAAATTACCCGTTTTGGGGTATTAAGAGTATCTGGATCATAACGGCCAGAGAAACACAAGAGCCCGTCCCCACTTCACCATCATTGGGTCTATACTCATCAAGTGGACCGGGTGTTAACATGAATCCGCTCCTTCCTTCAGGGTGGTGTAGCGCACGTCCTGACGGCATCATGTACCAGGTTTACACCGTCTGACGTGTTCGTACCAACCATCTTCATGGTTCTTCTGATATCAGTCGTGGAAAGTTACAGAAACAGGAATCTTCTCTTTGCTCGGATGCTTCACAAAGTATTTATTGTTTTGTTTGTTATCAGTCGTCTTTCTGTTCGTTCTCGACTTGGAAACACTTTTGAAAAAGTGATGAAAAGTTTTGTTTTGTCATTTTAAAGAGGACGACCCTCTTTAGGAAAATAAAAAATGTGAACAAACTCTGAAGTTGTCTTGTGAGTTTATTTAAAATGAAATCACGCCTCCTCCAGCTGTAGCTCGTCTCTGTGCACGTGTCATCGATATTCAGAAAGTAGCTTCTAGTGAGCAAACATTTAAAATAGTCGTCCTACAACGTTTTACAACAGGTCGTGTCTTCATTTTCTGTACCTATTATCTCACAGGACGAACAAAAGAGACATCCTAGAAACTACAGCAAAGATCTTCTCCTACAGAGAGATTCATCCACAGCAGGGAAACACTAAACGTCTTGTCCTGCTGCTGCATCACTTTCTCTTTGTCTTTGTAAAATGTTCAGGCTAAATAACTGTGTTGTTTGCATCACGTTCAGATTTTGCCACTTTCGACCCCTCAAGTTTCTGTGTCGCCCGTCTGTCTTGCATTGCCTGGAATCCCACAATGCCTTGCGATGTCCCACAGAACACAAACGGTGAAACTTTGCGCTGCATTCAGTGGTTCTTTGGTGCATTTCTGTTTCATTCACTAGATGGCAGTGAAGACAAAGATTCAATTGTTTACCAGTTTGGAGCGTTCACATCAGGCGACTCATGACTTCAGAGCGTTTGAAGGGTTACAAATATTTTGCATGAACATTCTAAAACTAAATGCATTAAATTAGAGTTTAATTATTTTGAAGGACAAACTGTGTTAGGACTAACACTTTAGCCTTTTGTCTCTGTGGGCGGAGGACCAACAAACCTCTGAATCACGAGTCTTGTGAAGTCTATTAATTGATTCAGAACCTCCAGTTTCTGACCGGTTGATGATTTTTGAGTAATTTCCACTTGTTGAGTTATGTTTTGAGTGTCAATCATCACAACTTCTCCAGTCAAAGTCTGATACAAGAAGCTTTTATTGTGAAGCAGCAGTCACAGGACTCACAATACATTTGTAATGAAATACAACGTCAGTGTTTAGTGCTCAAGTCAAAGCTAACTCACACCTTGTGTTCAACAACGACTTTATTTTGCAGTTTTTATTCAACAATCATATATTTACAGATTTCTTTGACTCATAAGCCGTCTCACCAGTATTCATCTGTAGACACTATAAGCATGTAATAATCATCACTCTTAAATGAATCTTCATGACACAATGAAATAATCAGCAATATGTTTTTCTGCGGCTGCCCATCAGATAGAAAAACAAATACAAATAATCAAGATATTTTGCAGTATTTCTTTTGCGTTTTCTGCTATTTTACTCAAACTGCAGCTTGACATATTTGGTGTCTTTAGAAACAATCATTTCTCCTGGAAGTGAAAATAAATGTGTCGGTAGATTAAACAGAACGTGAGTCATGATGCAGGGTCGAAAAGATATTAAATAAACGTGTTGCCTTTGTAATGGGATACATATGACAATAGTGTAAATCAATCACCACAGTTTGGGATGCACTGATAGCTTTTTTTTTTTTCCAACAAGTGCCTTTGGGTACTTGCCGATACCAATTACCAATATATACACACACACACACACACACACACACACACACACACACACACACACACACACACACACACACACACAAGCTTTCTCTCTACAGGACACCGGCTCACGTTACACCAGGCTTGCACTACACTGGTGGAAACCCCGACAGATAATGCCAGACAGACACACAGCTGACAACCTCACTGCTAAACTAATTCATGTGAAGGAGACTTACAGGGAAAGTGGCTGCATGTGTACGAGTACATGAGCACAGTATCTGTGCATCCCTACTGTTACCAGATTCTGTAGAGAATAAGATGTAGACCACACAGGGTTGAGGCTGAATATGTTCCCCTGAATGAAATGGGAGAAGTGATTAGTTTACTCCGACAGGAGAGATGATCAGAGGTGCAGAGTTTTTACCACCAGGATTAGGACAGGGACTGAAGTATGGAAGGAGTTTCTCATTGAAGGAGCAGCCAGTGAAGGAGTAGATAAGAGCTGCAGCATCTACGTCATAGAAGGAGACCAGACCCTCCTCATAATCCACAAACACCCCCACTTTCTGAGGCCGAGACTTCAGAGAGAGACTGACTGAAGGGCCAGTCGCAGCTTTGTACTCATTTCCATTCCTCAAACATATGGCCCAGTAACCATCCTGAGTTCTCAGTCTGACGTGTGTCTTCCTGTTGATCGACTCTCTGGCCACTCCTAAATCCCAATCAGACTTTCCTTTAACTTGAACCTCGTAGTAAAATCTTTCTGAAGAGAAACTCTGTGTTCCTAAAACACAGTGATTGAGAGAAAATCTCTCTGGATTGTTTGGGAGAGATTGCTGTACCTTACCAGTATGTACTTGTTTCCCATTAGCAGGCAGGATGAGTTCAGGATGAGCTGTGTCAGGATCAAGAGTCACATCCACTGCAAAGTTCTGGATCCTCTTCAGCTCAGCTTCAAGCAGCGTCTTTATCTCTTTACTGAGCGTCTCCTCCAGCTGAACCACAGCTCTCA